GTAACGGGTAACGAGTAACTGGGAACGCTAACGAGCAACGAGTAACTGGGACAGTAACGAGTAATGAGTAACTAGTAACTGGTAACAGGAACAGCTAACTTTAGTGTGCGAGTACACAGCCACATAGTGTCTGACGGAATGAAGTGGCCTGATGTTGATTCTTTTCTTGAAACTTTTAAATGTAACGTTGCTATTGAGACCTTTAAACAGTTAAATGACATTCAAATCCACCGTTATAGGCTATCCCTTACGACCGTCAGCTCCACCGCATTAGCTAACGTGACAGCTATTTGTTAGCATACAGCGGTACACGCAAGTGTTACAGTAGAAGCTCGCGTTACTTCTGTGAACATTTGATTCAAACGCACTGCACCTGAATGAGGTTTCCGTCTTGGTCATACTGGGCTCCGATCTTAGAGCCAGTTCTCACTCTGTGGAAAACAGACGTAGCCGCCGCCATGATGGACAGCAGTGTTGATAATGACGGATCACATGACCGGATCACATGACGGTTTGGATGCCTACTTTTACGTGCAACTACACATGAAGTGATACATTATAACATGTATTATCTTATTTGAGCTCATGGTCTGTGTTTTAAACGAGTAACAGTGTCTTTAAGAGCACAAACGTGTCGACAACACAACATGCACGCGCACTTTCAGCCAGCAGAGGGAGCACGGAAATAGAAGAGTCATCTCCAGCCCACTTCTTCTTCTTCTTCTTCTTCTTTGTTTTATGGCGGATGGCATCCAGTGAAAGGTGCATTACCGCCACCTACTACATTGGAGTGTGGACCCGATAACCTATCCCCTTCCCAAAACTAAACCAAAAAAAACGAAACAACAAAATAAAATAAAACAAAAACACGAAAAAGGAGTTCTCCATTTCAGAGACTTAAATTATTTTGCTCAATCCTGTTTCTTTCACGTACTGTAGTATGTTTCCTGCCCCCAAGGTTAATGCATCTTTTAGATTTAGTTCCTCCACTCCCAGCCTCCTCTTCAACCTGTCTCGCTCAAGTGAGAATTTCTGACAATGACATACGATATGGTATTCGTATGTCAATCTGCCAAATACAGATTCTGGTATTTGGCAGTGCTCACATAGTCCTGTTGGGTGTTTATTTATTAGTTGCATTGTTTTGTTCAGCCTTGTGTGTCCAATCCTCAGTCTGGTTAATATGTTTTCTTCTGTAGCTCCAGCCCACTGTCCAGTTATTAATATCATATAACAGGTCATAGGTCATGTTCTTTCTGTTAAAGACTGCTCGTTTTTACCTTTAGCTACTCTCTGAGGAGATATCTCTCTAATCATCCAAAATGCTTACTTCTGTAAACGTATTTTACACATTTCTATTTGCTTGTAATTATAAATATCCTATTTTCGTTTTCAATTATTATCCACAGGTATCACCGCACATTTCTATTCTATCGTTGTTGCATTGTTTGTATTTCAATTGTTTCAATACGAGTAGGGAAGAAAAAAGGAACAGAGAGCTAACAAGTTTTAAATGGTGCCTCTCCAGAAAAGAGGATTACTGTATGAAATATTACAATCACTATTCAGAACACATCAATTGAGGGTTGATTTAGTGTGGGTCCCTGTTGGAGTCGATGGAAATGAGAAGGCGGATAAAGCAGAAAAAAGGGCTTTGAAGAGTGGAATAAATAACGTTTATGTAAATATAAGTAAGTCAGAAGCTAAAGTGGTGATTAAGGGACAAATCAAAAAGATATGTCAGAACGAATGTAATAAAGTGAGCAAAGGAAGATGTCTGTTTAAAGATAAAGCATTGGTTGGGAGGGCAGGATCTAGTGGACCAACTAGAAAAGAGGAGATGATGAATGGAATGACTAAGGAATGGCCATACTGTTCCCTCTGTGTTACTAGAAAGCATAACAATGGAAAGTGTGCATTTTGCGAAGAAGAAGAAACTGTGGACCATGTTTCATTGTCCTGTCAGAGGTACGATTCAGCCAGAAACCTTTTGAAAAATGGTCGAGGAGAGATTGGAGAGGAGAATATAATTAATGTACTAAAGAAAAGCTTATTCCTTTGTTATGTTTTTGGATTTTTATTTTAATTTTATTTCTGTTTGTTTGTTAGTTTTTCGTATTAGAGCATTATTAGCCTTAGTCCACACTCCAGATCAGTGGGTGGCGGTAATGCACCCGCAAGCTATTTGCCAACCGCCAGAGGAGAAGAAGAAGAAGAAGAAGAAGAAGAAGAAGAAGCAGGAGAAGAAGAAGCAGAAGAAGAAGGAAAGGAGCTGTTTTGCGACAGTGCTGCTCACATTCCAGTGACTGATTTACGACAACGGCTCCGTTCACGGCTCACGTGTGTACAGTCCGCTCCGTTCCGTCGTGTGTACTCAACATGGCTAAAGTTTCTAAGAAGAAAGAGATTAAAACGGTTGTCAAGAAGAGCTCCGCGGTAATGGATAAGCTCGCAGCGGTGGGGCCAGATGTGGTCGACTACGACGACGAGGAGGATTTAAATAAGGCCGATGAAATCCTCACCAGTGAAGAGGAGGAGGACGGCGAGGATGAACGAAAACGGCAAAAGCTGCTGGAAGCCATCAGCGCGCTCGGTAGTAAGAGGAAGACAAAGCTGGGAGAGAGATCCGAGGCGTCCGTACAGATGTCTGAGTTTACCGTCAAGGCGGACGGGGAGGGCGACAAAATCGACCTGTCGGACCTCATCGGGACCATGGAAAAAACCTCCGCTGTCCCAGCAAAGACCAGAAAGCAGCTGAAGAACCTGCTGCGGAGGAACCATACTATTGAATGCCCTCTAACCAAGCAGCAGAGTGAGAGGATCCAGAGAGATGTAGCATTCCAGAAGGCAGCCACAGAGGTGACCCGGTGGAAGAGCATCATCAAACAGAACCAGAGGGCCGAGCAGCTGGTCTTCCCCCTGAACCAGGAACCTCCAGGCCCTAAACCCATGGAGAGGGTGGTGAGTGGCTGGAAGGCGCAAACCCCACTGGAGCAGGAGATCTTTGCCGTCCTGTCCGCCAACAAGCAGCCCATCAACGACCCCATCTTGACCCCGGCCGAGGAGGCTTCGATGCGGGCAATGAGCCTGGAGGAGGCCAAGATCCGACGCGCAGAGCTGCAGAAAGCCCGGGCCCTGCAGTCCTACTACGAGGCCAAGGCCCGGAGAGAGAGGAAGATTAAGAGTAAGAAATACCACAAAGTGCAGAACAAGGCAAAGCGTAAAGACCTCCTGAAGCAGTTTGATGAGATGGTGCAGACGGACCCTGCCGCTGCCTTAGAGGAGTTAAATAAGATTGAGCTGGCCAGGATGCAGGAGAGGATGTCGCTGAAGCACCAGAACAGTGGCAAGTGGGCCAAGTCGAAGGCGATCATGGCCAAATACGATGACGGGGCTCGCAAAGCCATGCAGCAGCAGCTGGAGGTAAACAAAGAGCTGACCCAGAAGCTTGTGACCTCGCTGAATAACGAGGAAGAGGAGGATGCAGGCGACGCAGAGCAGCTGCCTGATCTTGTAACTGATGCAGAGCACGGACTGGATTCTTTAAATCCCTGGATGACAGGGAAGCTGTCTGAAGAGCCCACAGAAAAAGAGAAAAGTGAGCCTGTGGATCTCACAGCAGCAGGGCCTGGAAATACAGTGGAAGAAGATGAGGATGAGGTTGAGGAAACAGAAGAGGAAGCGCTCCTCAGAGAGTTTGACAGCAGGAGGAAACTGCGTCAGGCTCAGGACACTGACGCAGCACCTTTAATATCTGTGGATGATGAGGAGGATGAAGCTGCTGCAGCAGAGGACCCAGATACATCAGACAAAGAGGAAGAGGAGCTCACAGAGTTCACAAGTCTTTTCCGAGGAATAGCAGACAGCCGTCAGGAGGCTGAAGCAGAGAAAGCTGAGGCAACTGCAGACGCTTCAGCTCAGCTGGAGGAAGATGTGATCAGGATCAGGACTCTGGAGGACATGGAGCTCCTCTGTCAGGAGAAGTCAACCAGTGGAGAAGCAGCTGCTCCGCCCCAGCAGCCCCCAGACACCGAAAACCTGCCTTCTGCAACTCAACAGGCAGGCAAGAACAAAAAGAGAAAGAGAGGGATTGAGCTGAACGAAGTTCTCACCAAAAGGACACAAGTCATTCAAGTCCCACTCACTCCAACCATGGAGGACACAGAGGACTCTGATGGAAAGCTGGACCAGAGGGGGCTCATTAAAGAGGCCTTTGCTGGAGACGACGTCGTCTCAGACTTCCTTAAGGACAAGAGGAAGCAGGAGGACGCAGGGAAGCCTAAGGTGGTGGACCTGACACTGCCTGGGTGGGGTGAGTGGGGCGGGACGAGCCTCAAGCTGTCCCGCAGCAAACGCAGGAGGTTCAAGATCAAGACGGCACCGCCTCCACCCAGGAAAGATCAACACCTGCCCGGTGTCATCATGTCGGAGAAGAGAAACAGCTCCATCAGCCTCCACCAGGTGAGCTCGCTGCCCTTTCCCTTCGAGAGCCATGCACAGTTTGAGAGCACCATCCGCTCTCCGCTGGGACGCACCTGGAACACCGAGCGGACTGTTAAAAAGATCAGCAAGCCCAAGGTGGTCACCCAGCTGGGCGCCATCATCGAGCCCATGGCCCGGGAGGAGCTGATGAAGCAGGCGTCCACTGGGAATAAAAGTGTGGTGGACTCATGGAAAAGAAAATATTAAGTGTTACGACTGTACGTGCTCACTGCTCACCGGTAAATCAAGAGAAGAGGAGCGCAGCAGCTTGTGAGCCGCTGCTCAACCGCTCTGCAGACACTCGGCTCAGTTTGCTGTCATCTATGTTGTGACATCATCTCAGCAGTTCAACAGCTGACATGATGTATTTGACGATGCTTTTCTGCAGCCTTTCATATTGTATATTTGAGAGATGTTTAATCAAATATATGAGCTGAACTATGTCGTGAAGAATATCTGAAATAAATTGTCTTTGGAGTTAAAGATATGGTTACAGGCTTGTAAGTTGAATTATTAACACTATTCCTTATTTCCCTCATGATGCTTGTGACTGTGTTGCTGCGTTGGTGGTTAACACACATCATCCTGTTTCTGACACACACACACACAGTGGAGTGTGAACCTGGTGCAGCACGTTTAACAGCAGGTTCTCGTGTCCTCACTGTTCTTAACTGGTCCCAGTGGCTCATGTACAACACTCCATCACAAGTTTAATGTTCTTCATTCGCATTGTTAGTTAACTGAAAGTATTGAAATATTAACAGCAAAATGTCCCAAAAGTATCAAAAGCGACTGATTATGCAGGAGGGCTAATTTAAAGGCATGTTACTGTGAGTCAATATTTCTGTCTGCAGGCTGGTAGAAGTGCTTCTTTACTTAATGGATTGTTAAACATACAGTATGAATATGTGTTGTATCTTTATTAGTTGCTCAGTCTAGGTTTCTCAGACCTGAGTCTGTAAACTAGTAACTAGCTATCGCTGTTGGACCGATGGAGTGGAGCAGAAACATACAGAAGAATATGGAAATGGTACCTAACGTTGTACTTGTATTTACAGCATAGCACTCCTAATACTATATATATATATATATATATATATATATATATATACTTATTCTCTATTTTAATGCTGACGAGCTAAGTTAAATTGAGGCAGACTGAACTTAATTGTAAAGTCTAATCAAGAAGTGAAGAAAATGAACTCGTCCACTGAAGCTTGATGAGATGTAAGGTGAGTACATGTGAGTTTAAGCAACACGATCATCCCAAGAACAGCAGCTGTGACCTTCCACTGTGACCTTCACTAATTCAATCCAAATATGGAAGAAAAGTTTGGACTGATCTGAAAACATTACAATCATAAACATCTCATCATACGCATTTAAATCATTTGATTTGAACTTGTTTTAACTTCTTGTATGGCTGCTGGTTCTTTAGACACAAACACTTGGAAGATGGGATTATAGACAAATTCATATTCCTGACAGTATGGTGTCATAAAACATAAAAACATTTCAAACGATACCCAGCTGTGTTAACAATGATGTAGAACTGAAAAAAGATCATAAATCTAATTAATAGGCGATCAAAAGTTGTCATTTTTCAAGCAATATAGTATGACTATACTATACTTTTCTTTATTTGATAGTAAAATACAAATCTTTGGGCTTTGGACTGTTAATTCAAGTTGAGTGTTAAATTGTGATTTTATTTTATTTCTGACATTATAGACCAAACAATTATAGAGAAAATAACCAGGTTAGTGGTTATATTATCAAAAGAAATCCTCAATTCCAACTCCATTAATAACAATACTTCTCTTGTAAGGGGGAATATTCTATGTTAAATGGCTCAAAAGCAAAAATGAACTGGTGTTTGAGGCTTTTACATTTTGGGGGATGCTGGGTTGAAACCTATGTGAATGATGTAAAGTGCCCACTGAGCAGCAGGTCTGCAGGTACGGTCACACTTCATTCAGCTCCCACTGCCCGCCTTAGAGTGGGAGGGGTCACAGCATCCAGCAACAGCATTCTACTAGTTTGTGCTCGACTTCCTCTCCCTCTCTTTCTCTGTTTGATTTCCAATACATGTGTAAGGCCATGCAGCAGTGTCTAAAAGAAAAGCCATTACAGTTGGGTTAAACCTTCACACATGGGTGAGAGTGCATGCTTTGGCACCTGACATCTCTGTATTTCACGTGATAGACACTCTATTAAAGCGGCGGATCCCGTAATGGACTATGCATCAGTTCAGGTAATGGTTGTCAGCTTGAGTGCCCGAGAGGCAGTGGAGAATTCCATTAGAAACCTTATAGTTACTAAATCAGTCATTCTCCATCTTCCTCTCTATCGAACCACCTCTTTGGGGCAATTACTACAGCTTCATACAGCTTTCAACAATGAAAAGAGACCTAGTCCTTGGACTCCCTCCTGCCCGCTGGACTGCAACGAGATCAGACAGTGATTCTCACTCAGATATATGAAGGCTGCTGTGGCTGTAAATCAGAGAGCCGGGGTATGAACGGCCTACAACCCCCATGATGGAACATGTTTTTCTCCATAATGCCCATTTGTGAGATCTGCTTAAATATTTGTTCTAGGATGAAGGAGCGTTTATGCCTCCCTTAAAGGTATGAAGATGCAATACTGACTTCTGTTCCCGGACAGTTCTTACAGTGTTATGGATATAAGATGTGACTGAAGACACAGGTTATCTCACTGTATTTATCATCATGCACAGTAATTCCAAACTGATTGGCAAACATTAGAGTCATGGGCAAACACCCATGACAGTCACGTTCTCCGACACACAGCAGTAGATGTTCAAAGCTGCAGCCGCTGCTGATTCACTGCAGTCCGATTGGCTCAGAGGTGTGTGCGTGAAACGGTGTGCTGGAGGACCCTTACCCATTCCCACCCTGACAGGTGTGAGATTAACTTAGTTAGGTGCAGAGGCACTCATGCACACCAAATTAAATTAATGGAACAAATTTCCCTCCTAATTAAGATGAAAATACGTGTCAGTTGTAACCTTGCTGAGCACTAATTATATACAAATGATTTATCATCTGTTTGGTCCTGAATAGCAATGGGCTCACCTCTCCAATAGCCCTGGCTGAGTGTTAAGAGATGGCCCCTGATTAACAGTGACAGGTTGTGCTGCGGAGAAGCTGCACGTCGCTGGCCAGCCAATCGCAGCCAGCCTGAGCTCAGACTCTCCTCCCTTCCATTAACCTACATTGAGTGTGCAGCTGAGCATCGCTGTGCCTTGGCTCTCCTTCTTGTTTCTCTCCTCAGAATGAAAATAAAGTACATTCAAAGAGGAAAGGTGGGGGGAGATGGTGTGACTGATGCAGTCTGATGGAGCAGGGGGATGAGAGTGGTAAAACCTGAAGCAGGGATGAATCCTACGAGATGTGCCATTCGTACTGAGACTGGATTAGCATGTGCATCTTTAACAGGCTCTCCACCTCAAATAACAAATTGAACAATGCAGAATACAGTTAAGCTCATACATCTACATTCTATGCCTGGCGGTGGATAATTGCTTCTAGGTGCCCTCGAACAAAAACAAGCTTGTATCAGCCAAGTACCAGCCTGACACCAGCAGGTGGTGCAATAGGTTAAGCCTGCCAAAAGCCACTGTATAGACTCCTGTGAGCTAAAATATCAAAATAAGCAGGGCTTCATTATACAATTACAGCCTAACTGGGATATTCCATCTTATTTCCTTCTGCCTTGCAAGTACAGATATATTTCAATGGGCGGAGGCTCTGATTAGCATTAGAATCAGAGTCCCTTGTGATGCAAAGGACACACCGGCCAATCTGTAATCATTGTTCCGCAGGCTTGCTCACAGGGGATACAGCCCGCTTTGTCATTATCATTCAATATGCCACACACTTGGTGGCATAGCTTCTGTGGTGCTGCCAGTAACGAGGCATTTGCATTTTCCTCCTCATAGTTCCAAGAAATTGTGCAGACAATTATGCACCACAAATGACTCCTCTCTGTTTCCACTGGCTGAAGATGAGCGATGCCGTTCCTCTCTGACTGCTGCTAAAGACACAGAAAAGATCCCTCTTTCTATGTTTCATTTCCTCCTTGTGTGATTCTCCTTCTGCAATGGTCTGTGTGTGCGTCCTCAGAATGTCATTATGTACAGGTGTCAGCTGCAGCCATTGGGGATCATTTGACTTTCTATTGTAATTTGGGGTTATTTAGCCGACACCTTGTTGCTTGTGGGATGTTGTTGTGTTAAATGTCAGTATGGCTGCACAGGGGACGTACCAGTGTGCTCCAGCTTATTTCTCTCTCCTGTCTTTAGCTGAGTCTGTCTGTCTGGAAACCTGCTATTCCCCTGCTGCTGGAGACCCACTCAGAGCATGTCAAGCACAGAGAGGGAATGTCAAGCACTCATTGTAAGAGCGGCCTCCACCTTGCTGCTGCCTGCCCTGTGGGTGTAGGTTCTTGTAACATGCACAAATGAAATACAATGATCAATGTATGAATTTCACATAAAAACAAAGGAGTTCACATTTGTGTATGTCATTGTGACCCTGACTCTAATCTTTCTCAGGTTTTGTCGTTGATACATTTACATATTTATGGATAAAGATTCAGTTGAAGGCCCCATACTGCAGAGTGCTTAGGTCCCTAACATGTGACACATTCATTGGAATACCAGAGCAGCAGCCATTTTCTTTTGTTGCTCCCACGCCCTCTTACCAATTTACCCCCTGCCTGTAGCGAGAGAGAACTGGAGGTCGAGGTATGAGAGGCTTGGCAAACAGCTTCTCACGTCATAGCTGTCTGGGGATTGGCACATGAGGCAGCGAAGGAGGGGGTTAGAGGTTAATTATAGACAACAGAGAGGTCACAAGGTCTATTATTCTGGAGCCGGGACCTGCAACGGTCCAATGGGAATGACATTTATGACGAGGGTCTGGCCCCACCCCTCCATCACCATACACACCCACAACCCACCCTGCGCACACGCCATCACTCACATTTATACTGAAGGAGCCGACAGTGGGACTCAGTGGTCTGATAATGAAAAGGCCCTTAGCGTTTGGCATCGGCAGGATGATGAATTGAATCCCTGGCTGTTCTCTGGCTGCGTCAGGGGGCCTCAAGGTAGCCCTTGACAACTAATCGACAGCCCCCGATCCCTCCTCTTTCCTACCAGACTTCCTTTATCACTCTAATTATTAGGGTTAAGTGAGTCTCCCATGGGACTGTGAGTAGTACACTGAATAGAACCTGCAGAGTCATTTTATTGGAAACAAAATCAATGGCAGAAGCATAAATGAATCTATATGGCTGCCTGCATCTGATGATATTGAGTTGTATGTTCAAATTGTCCTCCCTGAAGGTTTGTTGAGACAATTTTTGTTCCAAATGATAATGGCTTTTTAAGATATAATGAAATAAAAGGCTGTTTTATATATATATGATATTTTAAGAACAAATCCATGTGCAGAGTCAAACCAACAATGAATGTATCAACTAAACAGTATTGTGTGTGTGTATCAAAGCCTGATATATCTTCTTCCTTTGTGTCTTAGAGCTCCATTGTTGTCCAAAAACTATTAAAAACACATCAATGAGCCATACTGTTGCACTGGATGACATGTTCCTCCATGAACACACACACTGGAGGTTATTTTGACTCAATCCCACATACACTGGTGCTTTAAATATACTCAGTAAAGCAACAAATTCAATTCAACTTCAATTAAATTGATTTGTACAACCCAAAATCACACATTTGCCTCAGGGAGCTTTACTCTGAAAAGGATACAACCTCCTCTATCCTCGGACTCTTGCTTCGGAAAAGGAAAAACTCCCCCCACAAAAAAACTTGAATGGGGAAAAAAAGAAGGAAACATCCGGAAGAGCAGCAGAAGAGGGACCCCTCTCCCAGGATGGACAATAGACCCACAGGTCCACCCACCAAAGACATTTTGGACCATTCACCAACCAAACTTTGTAAAAACAAGTGTCAAACCCCACTACATT